AAAACATCTGACATAAGCATGCTTGTAGACAGCATTTTCTTTTAACAGTATCGTACTGGGCATTCATTGGAATACATGGTGGCAGGGATGCTTCTTAGAGGAATTACCATGTTAATTCCATTAGGAAAAATTTTTTTCTGTGCCATTTACTTTGTAATTTAAGATCAGCATTCCACATTTGCAGAAGGCTGAAAGACTTTTTAAAGTAATAAATCAAAGGAGTTCTCTTAATACCTACAGAACTAAATGTAGGGACATTTCCAGAAGTATTCAATGAAACTCAATTTACATATTTTTTGGATGTGTAATCTATGTGACCTTCAGTAACTGTTTGTTTTTTTAAATCTGAAAAATGCCTTTAAAGAGTAATAGCCCAGAGTTTCAAATAGTGCAGCAGGAGATGTAATGCATATTTTAACATGTTTTCTTTAAATTTGTCACACAGACTTGTTGTGCATGATTATGTAAAAGTCCGTGTTTTTAAAGCCAGTAGTACAAGTCTGTGATGTACTTGGTTGGGCTAAAAAATTCAGAAGTCTAATTTATCTTGAGATATGCTCAGTCAAGAAGTTTTTCACAGCAGTTAGCTAACACTTCAAGCTCTAACAGTGCCCCTGAGCCATAAAAGAAATTTGCATGTAAGAAATGTTTTGAATCTATTAAAACCTCAGCTCAGAGCTAAAGAGTTTCTCTTATGTCTTTGTTGACTAACATGAAGTGAGATCTTACAAAAAGCTAGGCTGTGATCGACAGATGCCAAATCTCAGGTTTTGATGTGATTATATATATTTCTTTCATGCACAGTGGTTTGCTCTGGGACTGGAGTTACAGAAAGACAGCAATCAATGGGTCTGTGCAAGAGTACACAAAATATATTACTCCTGGCAGTTGTCAAGGCAGAATTATTCAAAAAATAATCTGAAATGCATTTGATCATACGCTAGAAGTTTTAATAATTTATATTATACCTTATTAGCAAAGTCTTGTGTTTACTTTGTGACTGCCAAAACAAGATGAAAGGCTGCCTCCGTGGAACTACAAGATGCTTAGCTCAAAGTCTCTGTCTGTGCATTTCAGTTTGGTAATTTCCCTTCCTTCCCTCATTTTGATTAATAGTATATCATTTTAAATCTTAGAGTACCTTTTCCTTCATTGTGGTCCTATTTAGTGAGAGCAATGCTTAAGAAGTCTACCAAAGAGTTTGTGGCCTATCAAGACTGAAACTAGTACAAACACGTATTTTTGAAACTTCTTTACCTTAGGCCTTCCTCCCAGCACTTTTTTGTTGAAAGAGTCTTTGAATTTTGTTCTAAATTCCACTGAAATTAATCATTATGGTAATCTTTCTAACTCTTGCAGCTACAAAAGTGTGATATCTGAGCTCAGCTTAAGGAACTGTTGCATTCTGACTAGTGATTGTATGTGGTAAATATCACAGCTATATCAGGTCAGAATATTACAGAAATTACCTAAAGATTTCCTTGGAAAGCTAATGCACTTTGAATATTGTATCTAGAGACAGAGACACAAATAAGGACTGTTCAGAATTAATCCTTCTATTAAGTGAGAGCATAGTGAGTGGACAGTGTAAATGCTAGTTCAAAAAATTAGTTTTTTACCTCCACCGAAGCTTTTTACACCAAATGTGCATAGAGTCATATTTACAGTGTTTTTCACTAACACAGCTGTTTATGGGATACTTGTGTGCTTGGAAGAACTGCTTATATTCTTGACAGGCCATGCTGTGGCAAGGGCCACTCAGCCCTTACTCAGGAGGGAGAGGGTGCAGTGACACAGTCCCTTTAGCAGGGCTCCTCTTCCCCCTGGGGAATTTGTGCACAACAGACTCTGAGGAAGAGGCATCCACCTGCAGGTGTCTCTGAGTGATTATCCTGGGTTTAAAAGCTCTGTATGAATCTCAGGATGAGGACAAAAAGATTATTTTCTACAGGAGCCTTTCAGTCACAGAGAGCCAGATGTACCTTTTTTTTTTTTCCACAGAGGCGTATTCTGTGATGATAATGAGGGAAAATTTCATGGAAGCCTGTGGTATTACTCATGTGTCAGGCAGAATTTTGGGCCAAACTAGAGAACAGTGCTTAGAAAACATGAATCAGATGAATACACTGTACTTTCCTTGGAAGGGAATATTTGGCAGGATCACCTGAAGAGGTGTACACTATCAAACAGAAACACAACATGTTTAAGTGGTAAGCTGTGATGTCTTTAAGAAAAGGGTCACTTCAGTTTGCAATTGGAGATATTTCTGTCTTTCTACAAAAAAAAAAAAAAAAAAAAAACCAAACAACCCAAAAATGGGTTTACTGTATCAGTATGATCATCTCATTTATTGGAAATATGATGAAGTAAGGAAAAAACAAATTTCACAGCTGTACAGGCTGACTTAGATGAAATGCTACTTGGACAACTCACCAGAAGTGTTCACCACCACTGGAACTTTGTAAACCTTGCCAAAATGTCTTGTGCCATTCTGTCCTACCAGCAGTATGCAGCACTACCTAATGCATATGCAGTGCATGTTGCAGTAGAGGTGTAAGAAAACAGTATGGTAACAAAAAAAAGCAGTATAGGCATGATCAAAATTATACCAGCAAGATGAGACTCTTTGGTTTTATGTTGGAAAACAGAAAAACTGTGTAACATAAATGAAATGCCAGTGAAACCACTACTGTAAACTATGTTACAGAAACTTGATTGAATGCATGAAACACTGATGTGCTTAAATGTTTGTGAAGGAGAAAATTTAAAAGAAGTCCCTCAAAACATTTTACAACTTACAATGTGTGGTTGGGGCATTTTGCTGGCTGTCCCTAGTCTTCCTAAGAAATGTAGATAGGAGCTGAAGCATTGAGGAGAAGGTCCAGCATTATTTATGAGGTACTGGCCCTTTTTATCTGTTTGCCAAGGGATAGCATCTAGTCTTGTATGAGTGAATAACTATGATTTTATCATGCAGTGTAGAAATATTTAATTAGGAGTCAATAGGCTGATTGTAGTCAGCCAAATTTTAAGTCATGATTCAGTGAAAAATAAATATCAGAAAAAATAAGACTTTAGTTGTACTGATATTTTTACAGACTTATCCATTCCTTTAAATCACTTTAGCCTTAGTGTTAATGTACCAACAATACATGTAAAAACAGGTAATTTCCATAAATTAAGCACCTTACATTAGAGATTTGTGAGACCTTCAAAGAAAAGAAATGCTTTATAAATATCTAGAAAGAATAAATTGCAAAAGAATTTTGACTCATTTGTAAAAAATCCTTTATAATGTACATTTTCCAGTTTAATCTTCAGGCAAAGGTTAATCAACTTTGATTTGGGAGGACAAGATAGCTTTGGCCATGTGCTAAAATTTCAGACACCTTAGAAATTGATCGTAATTAATAACTTAACAATAGTTTTTGATTAAGTAAACATGTCCTGCACAGTATAGACTGAATTTCTGGAGTGGTGCTGTTCCTGTGCCTCACTCTGTGGAGAATTACACCCCAGTGTGCTTACCTGTTTCCTTTCCTCTGTTTACCCAGTTGACATTCTTCTAGGTGCCCATGTGTGAGAAGTCATCCTCATTTCATAGTTCACTAGATCAGTAACCCTTTGCCTGTGTGAATTGGGATCCAAGTCAGCAATAACTCAGTTGTTAGAACAGCACTTACTCCAGGCTGTCATTTGCCCCTTTGATGCTTACTTACCTAACCAGTAGTAATCATTATTTTCCTTCTACAATTACTATAATGGAGCTGATTGCTGAAATAGAAAACAGGAGGCAGTTACAGAAGGTTTGAATTGTGCTGTCACACTTTCATGGGCAGGCACCTTTCTTGGAGCTTTGATATTTCTTTGAGTTTGCCCAGAAATATGTTTGGTAAAAGACAGCGTGGGCATCTGGTCTGTATTTTCATGTGGCCCTGTTTCAGCTTCTTGGAAACACAAGATTTTCCAGATAGGTACTTTCTGGGTCCCTGATTTATTTTATACAAAATGTGAAAGAGAAAAAAAATAAAATGGTTTAATCAAAAACCTTTTTTTAACTGGAAAATTTCAAACCCATTAAAAATCCAGCTGAACTCAATTGAATTCCCAAGAGATTATTCAACTAGAGGGAGGAAAACAGAAATGAACAACAGAAATATTACATCTTATGATGCAGCATTGTTACACCTTTGTTTAATTACACCTTTACCACTTACATCTCTTGCAAATGTCATCAGAGTTTCACTGGATGTTTTTCCTTTTGAGTATCTACAATAGTGAACTGAATAAGGAGAAAAGAGAGAAAAGAGCCTTTTACTCATTTCACTTGGATTTTCTGCTGAAATAGTGATGCAACATCTGTAACTTGTGCTGCACTTAAGAGACATCATATTCTTGGGGATCTTGGTGCTTGCAGTCAGGTTGGGAATGGTAATGGCAGGCACAGCAGGGAACTGGGATTCAATATGCTGAATGAGAAGGTGAGTGTTTTAGCACAGCTGCCTCCTGAGGGTCAGGGGAAAGGAAAAGCCCTTTGGGAGGATTTTCAAGCACCACTGAGCTGGCACACCAGGAGTCAATGATTGACTTTAGAAGATCCCTGCTGTGCAAAGGATTGAGTGTTGTCCCCTTTATCACTGGTTAGACATTTCTTTTGGAGAAGCTAAAACTCGGAAAGTAGTGAGATAGCAGCAAAACAAATTAAAAAATAACCATCAAACAGCTGTCTCTGGTGTCAGTGAGGTCTGGAGATTTGTTTCTGTTGCTAATAGCTGCATTGACTTGGCAGTTAATTTCATTAGAAATACTGATTTTGTATGGCATTTATAAGATTCCTGTACAAAAAACTGATGACCTGGTGATGATGCAGTGCAGGTTGAATTGTTGGTCTTGAAAAGGACAATAATTTGAACCTCAGCACAAAAAGGAGAGTGTATTTGGTATGTACAATCAAAAAGACAGAACACAGTTTCAGTCCTAACGTCTGCATTTCTTCACAGGAGTTCCGACGTTCAGCACAGAATGGCACAAAGTGGAAAGCACAGCCTAACGCTGAGATCCCAGTGAAAGCACGGCTCAGCTCCTGGATGGCTTTGCAGCTGCCATGGCAACAAGAGGGAGGTGGACTGAAGATCCTGTCTGTCAGCCTGGCTCTACTGGCAGTTCTTGTTATGTTTTACTACGGAGGAATGAAAACAGAACTGTGAACTGAATGGGGCTTTTATAAAAACAATGAAACTGCTGTTCAAAATCTTCAAAGGAAACACTTTTACCAACAAATCTTTTTTTTATTTTAGAAAAAAAAAGCTAATATAAATTGGGCAATAATTTGTACTCACTCTATGCCTTTCCTGTCATTCAAAGGAGAGAACATTAATAAGCTGTGGGAAGGCCTATCTTGCCAAAACCTGAGATCCTTGGTCGGTAGAACAGGTTGTTGCATCTTTCCTTTTCTTTTTTTCCTAAAATGATGCAAAGTTTGCATTACATGCTCTTTTCATATTTGCTGTATCAGATAAAATTGCATTAAGTTTATAAGGAATCTTTCCATTAAGTGATATCGGTCAACTTTTATGGGTAGATTATTTAAAGCTTTCCTGAAGATTTTGCTTGATGCAGTGTGATTGTTTGGTATCTGTCTTTTTACATTAGAATGAACACTGCAAGGCCATTAAAGTTTGTTATTTGTTGCTATTTATTTTGCTGTCATGTTTGAAAGAATTTTTGCCTGCTGTCTTGCATCTCTCAACTTCACAATGAGTTATTAGGCTTTTTTAATACAAGAAGAATTATTTTTTATATAAAAGTAGTTCTAAAGGTGTTGGGTTTTTATAATTGAATGGGAAGATGTTGTTCTGGTGATAGAGTTCTGTGAAAAGATGAATTTAATACAGTCTGTAGATTTTATACAATCTTTAGAGAACTACCTGGGAATCTCTTAGCTTTGTGTTCTCAGTAAAACAATTATTACTCTCTTAGTGGGGAGGCTGCATTTTACACAATGAAAATTTATAACTACTTTATTCAAGCCATTTTGTCATGACAGAATCTCCACACATCCTGTGAGTGTGCTGGTGAGTCAGGGACTGGACTGTGTGCCCAGTTCTTCCTGCACCTGACCTCATCATATTGTGAGTTTGTTCATGACTTGTCACCTTTCTGAATCTTCATCCAAACTTCCACTTGCAGAGACTGTTTAAAATCATAACACAGGCACTGTTGAGGGTTTTTTTAATGTTTGTGTCACATCCAGATGGAGCTGAGCTGTCTTACGTGACTGTTGTGGTTTAACCCCAGCAGGCAGCTGAAATACTCACCCCCCTGCAGTGGGGTGGGGGAAAGAATCAGAAAGGTAAAAGTGATAAAACTTAGGGGTTGAGGTAAAGACACTTACATGAAGCAAAAGCTGCACAATGCAAGCAAGGCAAACCAAGGAAATAAATCATTCATTACTTTGACAGGCAGGTGCTCAGCCATTCCCAGAAATGCAGAAGAGGCCTTGACTCTGTGTGAGCCCTCCTCAGCAGCAGAAAATCCAAAACATAGCCCCATACCAGTTGCAGTGAAAAAAATTACTCTATCCCAGCCAAAACCAGTACATTGTCTCTACAGTGCAGAGGAATAGTCCCCTAGTTAGAGTGCTTGTACTTTATAAATTGTGGATTCATAATAGTTACAGACAATTAACCAGGAAGCTCCACCATGATGCTTTCAGCACAGCCTGTAAATTATAACAGCAGATGTTACTGTCTTTAGGAAGTCAGGTGTGTGATCAATCAAATATTAAATTTTTGATAGCAACCACTGAAGGTCATAAGCTAAGACTCAAAATCCACGAGTTTTAAAAGAAAAAAACAAACAAAAACATGCCCTTAATTTTCTTCTGTTTGTTGGCATGCTTTTTTTGTCAGGTTTTTCTGTACAACAAGGAATGTATAACAATCAGTAATTTACTTTTTTAACAAATCTGAAAAATTCTCAGATAAAAACCCACCAACATGACTCTGGGAGTTGACATTTTCAGGAAAGTACCACAGATTGCAAGATTCTCAGGAAAACTGTGGATTGGCAAAATCATTCTATCCGAGCCAAATTTTCGCATGTGACGGGAATAATCTATGCAGATATGTTGTGTGCTTCTAGCATTATCTCTGTCAGCCACTCTAGCTTATCTAATCGTGGCAATTACAGACTCATTGCATCAGCTATTACAGAGATTTACCAAGCTTGTGATTTAGATTCTGTGCATCGTTGACTTTAATGGGACCAGCTTATTTTCTTAGAAATAGTGTAATATACTGAAAGAGGCCAAAGAAGACTTTGTAAATGACATTGCCTGCAGTATATTCTTAAACTGAGCTTTAATCTGATAAGTAGGAAGTGTTGTTTATCACGTATTTTGTTGCCTTCCTTTAGATTTTGAGAGAGGTTTTTGACACTTTGTGTTGTAGAGCAGCATTGTGTTTGTCATTGCATTCTGGTTATGTGCAAATAAAGCTTCCAAGGCCACTGAGCTGAGCAAAACGGTTCTGGTCAAACAGCTCACCTGGACCAAGCCTGGACTGCCTGGGGCAACTGGTGCAGCTTGGGAAACCTCAGTGAGTGTGGAGTGAGCTGTACAAATAGATCCTCCTCATGGAACGAGTTGACCTGAACATCTGATCTGTGATTTTTGGCTCTCTGAATGTCCTAAGTACCCTGCCAGGCAGCATTTTTAATTTTTACATCAACATTATGTTTGAGACCTATTTCCAAGTATTCCCTCTTTGCAAGCCATCAGGATGGGTGAGAAATCTGCGGCACTCCAGCTTAACAAGGTCATTGCAGGAAAAGTTACCTCATAGTCAATTGATCCCACTTTCACACATGCTGAACACACTCATCACTAGAGAATGTGTCTGCTAATAAGCAGTCTACGTTCAATGACCTTTTGTCAGAGAAAAAAAGAATATAATTTCCATTTGATACCAGGAAAGCCTCAACTATTTTTCTTAAGTGTTTGTGGTAGCTCTGAGTTCTCTTTGGCTGTTTGCAATGAGGAATCTTGCAAACCACAGAACCCTGAGTAGCAAAGACAACTTAAATCTGTTGTGAACAGCATTAAGTACACACATTTTATTTTCTGCTTTTGAGCATTGTATGCTGGAGGACTTTGTCATTTAGTCTTTTCATTGTAGCTTTCTAGTAATACTATACTTGTTTAGAAAAAGAGTATGACATAGAAGTGTTTTATGTAATGCTTGTTCTATAAAGCAAGAGAAAGAAGAAAAGGTGCTTTTTGAGGAGACTGACCTCTGTTACATCATTCCCTGCACATCTCTGAACATCTGACAGCTACTGTTAATCTAGTTTCACTTCCCGGTTCAACTTCCCATATGGAAAACTGGAGTGATTTTTGAATAACAGCAAATAATATCAGAAGTGGCAGCAACTGGCAACTCTGACACCGAGCTTGGCTGTGGCCATTACCCAGAATCCTCCTGCTCTTCTTGAGAAGCAATTACAATTTCACAGGTTGGAATTAAAATTCCCTGCAGTATGCAGGAGAGTAACTGAAACTGTCAAAGTGATTTCAAGCTGCTAATCTCTCCCTGCTCCAAGAGTGAAAATAGAGCCACTCTTACCCAGGCACAGATCTGACAACTTAAAAACTCCAGCCTTCCACTTCACTTAAATACATATGGAGAGTAGCTTGATCTGCTCACAGAGGATATCTGTAAAGATGTTATGTCTATGAACATTTGTGTGTTATTAACAAGTCTATCTTTTTTAACTTTAAGACGTGTGTAACTTCAGGGACTAAGACAAATATAAAAGAAGTCTTATGCAAGAGCTCTGACAGTTTGGAGGAATGAGAAGGCATGTGCCTGTTTGTGTGAGGCTTATTAAAATCTTTATTTATGTCTTCTCAAGCATGTATTTTTTGCTAGAAAATTTGCTTGCAACTTTCCCAGATTTTATTTTCACAGTTTTATATCCCATGTTATATTTTGTGTGCACTGTGGTTGATTGTATAGATAGAAACAGAGAGCATTTAGAAACTAAAAGGCAGAGGAAAAAATTGAGGGGCTGTAAAACTAGGGTGCAAAATGAAAAATATTTGTGCAAAAGCTGCAAAACAAATTTGGTCTAGGAGACATGGACCACAGAGTTAGGGATTGGCTGCAAAATACCATTGGACTTGTTCACAGGCAGGATTCATCCACTAGATAATTAAAATCAGAGTCATTGCTGGAAAATGTTTGTGCAAATATCATTAGATGTCTTTTAGTTCCATATTTGATTTATGCATGCTCTTAACATTCGAGTGAATGCTTTTTTCCTTTAAATGAAAGTTCTTCAGTTGATAGAAGGGAGATTAATTATGAATAGTCTATTTTCATTTTAAAGAAGCCAAATACCATAAAAAAAAATCATGTCACTGCAACTGCTGGTATCCCAGAGTCCCCATTTGGGAAGTTGTGGTTATGGATTTAGATCATTAATGCTGTCCAGTCATGTCCCATGAATGGAGAAAGAGTAATATTTGAGTATCCTTTCAACAATATTTTGTTGGAAAATATTTAGCAATTATAGCCATTCTTCTTAAAAAGTGGTCTTAACATGATGTTTTATAGAGGACAATCTGCCCTGCATGGTTTCTTAATGCTGGTTGTAGGTAATGGGGTGAATTTCAATGTTGGTGACAGAGTGTGATGCAGATTTGTGCCTACAACTTGCATGCTTTAAATGCCCCATCTGTCTTTGAGTGTGAAAACAGGATAGTTGTGCTTAAGTGAGCATAAAATATTGTGTCTACTCTCTTCCTGGGTGCTGTTTGTGGGGAGTGGTGTACAAATGTTAGTTGCCAGTGAGTTACAGATTACAGGAGAAGCTTGGAGATGATAAAACACACCAAAAAAGGGCCATGATTGCTTGGCACACAGTAAGAGTTGGGGATCTGAGAGAAATTAATGTGATGAAATCATGATATGATGGAAATTTGACTTCTCATGGTTAGGACATCATTACAGTATAATCTGAAAAATAAAATGTTAATGGTGCTAGGAAGGCTTTGCTGCACAGACACCCTTCCCAACTACTCATAACTTGTGTTCCTGTGCTGTGTTGGAGCAGTCTGTTCCACCACCGTGGTGCCCCAGCCAGAGAAACGCCGCCCAGCTCACTGGGCCCCTGGCTGTGAGCTGGGCACACACACTTTCCTGGAGGAGGGCATCCCAACTCTGTCCCCTCTCACCCTGCCTGTCAGTGCATTGCATTTCTTGCTGCTTGGTAGGGGAGATGGGTAAACTGTAGCCAGCTAAGAAACTTGCTCAGTCCAGTGGCATGCAGTAAATAATGCATACTCTTTAGTGGTTGAAAGCTTCAGCTTTTTGTTTGGGTTTCAAGTACCTCCATTCCACTGTGAGCCTGCATTCTCTCTTACCCTTTCTCCCAGCTGCCTCAACCAAGCTATCAGCACTTCATTTTGTTATGTGGAAGATGACATGTCTTCAGAAGGGTGTTATTCGGAGTAAGGTGGCTTCTTCCCTGAAAAGAAGAATGCTACTTCTCCAGAGAAGCTTATTTGCCAGAGGTGTCAGTGCTTGGAATCCATTGTGTTGCTGTGTCTGTTCTTCAGCTGTGTGGTGTCTGTCTGCCAGAGCCTTTGGGTTATGTCAGAAACTCCCATTTGCTAATAAGCAGGATTAAAAGGCC